TGATATTGTTGACCTTGAAAACCCATGATGATATTTGTATGAAATTAGAATATTTTACATTGTTCGGAAGCATAAACTTGTTTTTGCTACGTCATTATAAGGAATTTGTTTAAAACATAAACAAGAAAAAACCATAACTCAAACATTAGCATAATCTGCAGCATCTATCCATGAGACACTCTCAATCCACTATAAAGCAGCATACTCTTGCTGAGTAGGCTGCAACAATTCGTTGGGGGGCATTGCATAAAACAATATATATAAAGGTTAATCTTAAGTTATTTTCTCATAGCAACTTATAAGTTATAAGGTGAAATAAGCTACATACACCAGTAACATCAAGAATGTGTTCACACTCAGCAACGTGTAGACGTCTCATCCTAGGGTAGGCAATTGCCCGAGCGATAACACCCAGTCTAGGGGAACCAACTATAATATTGTTTAGAAATGTATCCATGATCTAAATCTACAAAATTAAGATGTCAAACAAATAACCAATTTAACAAAGTTAGAATACTTGTTGCTTCAAAACATATTAAACATAGTGGACATACCTTAAATGCAAATACAAAACCCTACAGAGTATATGTGTGTCTACTACTAACTCCTAGCGCATTGGGGTTCAAATGCTCCTCAATTTTGTCAAAAACAGTACGTAGTTGTCTCTAAGTGAAATGCCATATCACTCTACCCCATGGGTACATATGTCAATAATTACACTTAATAAGTATATGTATCATTTGATATAATGTGTGTAAAAATCTGTATACCTGTTAAACTTGTATAAATTAGAGATGATTGTCATATGTTCATCAGTAACCAACATTTGAGGGTATTCCCAAACAATCGTTGCTCTAGCATATACAATAGGGAGACTCTCACCGCATCTCTATTACTTAATTGATAAAGTACGTTATTGAAAACATGCATAAGGTCAACCAATCTCACCGAACGTGAAAGTGACACAAATGAAAACACGCATTGTTTGAACTCTATGAAACTATAACTTTCTGGGGGGGGGGGGGGGGGGCACTCCCGAACCGCAAGCCGGTGACCAAGTAGAATGCTTTTATATCAAAGAAAACTCGATTGTCGTCAACCAGGAATAGAAGCTCTTGTAGGTCAACTGGATCAAAAGTAGTAGATTCCTTGCACATAAGATATTGACAGAGTAAATGGTGACTCTCCACACCTATCTGCATGTTCATGTAATCACCAAGACATGTTTACCTAAATATGACCCAAAAAGCTTGTCAGTTTTGTAACCGAGCCATGATTTCACTCCCAAGTTAAGGTATGCAGGTTGTAGTAACAACCGTTTTGTATGTTTTGTCATGTTACAATCAAAAGAATAATTAATTAGGCATCTTTGTATGTATGTTCTAGAGGACGTTACTGAATAAACAATTCCGGACCAAAGCCGTGGAACACAAGTTCGGAGCAACAATCTGGAACGCAATTATGGACAAAATTCCGAATTGGATTCCAGAATGTTCCTCGTATTCCGGAGGAGTTTTTATTATTCCGCACATGTTTTTCGAATTTCAAACTTGTTCCGAAATAGTCAAAATGATGATTTTTGGTAAGAGTTTTTGATGTAGCATACATATATTCCTACATGTAATCTTATAATTGTCTTTAAACCAATAACACTCACAGGAAAAAATGATAATACCTATATAAGTGCATAAATTATACAGGTTTTAATCATATAATGTAAAATAAAGGTATATAATTATAAACATAATGAAAAGTTACATATAAAAAATGCATCTCATCATAGCTATCAGAAGACATTTCCAGTTTTAGTGGTGCCTGGAATGTTGTCTATAGGGTAATCCGAAATAATAAAGTTCGAAATGAAGTCCGAAACCAATTAAAATGGTATTTACAGGAGAGACCACATTGGTTAAATCCACTACCGATTCACCGAATACAAAATTAGGTCCGAAATGACCCATTCTCATTTAAAAAATTATTATTATTAAAATAACATTAAAAATAGTTAATTTACTCAATTTCCGATTCTTTAGCACTTAATCATTTATGTCCATTTATAAACAAAAATATCTAGATGTAAATGCAGTAACCGTAAAAGTTTAAGAATTTCTCCATTAATCTGAATTGTAATGGCCACCTAGTTGTAATTGCCACATATTAATTTTCCAAAATTCTCCAATTAATTAAACATGAATCTATAACTTCTCATAGAGAATTGTAGATCGAGTAAAGAAAGATTTAAATGTTAGTTATTTCTAAATATTACAAAGAAAATGTTTACAGTTCATATTAAAGATTATATATAGGAAAGTTACGTAAACCAAAGAAAATTATAAGAATCCAAAAAATTACAAATTTCTTCAAAGTTGAAATTAAACAGAGGGATAATTTTGAGAGAGAAAAAGAGATAAATCATAAATTCTTAAAACTTTATATATGGTTCATCTTTTATTGTGGACTACTTCTCAACAGTTAAGTTTCTTTTTCTTTTTTCTTTTCTTAAAGAATATTATTAAGAAAAACTAATTTAATAATTATGAACAAAATGTAGTGATAGAATATGTTTTTATAAGATCTATTTTCTATTTAATTTTTTTTTTTTGAAAGAATATCACAGAATCTTAAATATTACTAAAAGAGAAACTTTATGACATCATCTTAAATAATCTGGACCATTGATTGTATTTCAATCTTATTTTTTCCACCCTTAGATCAAATTGTTGACATCATCTTTCCCATATGGAATGTATTTAATTCCAATAAATGTTTTCCAATCATCAATCAATAATTTACCTTCATTGAAATGGAATGTATTTAATTCCAATAAAAGCTTTTCATATTTTACATCTTGAATTTTTAGTTATGAAGATTTTAATATGATCAATTTTAAAAATATATTACTAACAAATCATTTCAATCAAGGCCTTAATATCAACCATTAATACAAATCCGTTTATATTAGTAAACCAGTAATATAAATTTTTTTTTTTATTAGGAAATCATTAATACCGAAAAATCATATTCTAATTATCACATACATATACGATTCATCATTGAATCCGCGATTCACATTTATTTTCAATCGTTTCTTTTCTTCAAACATTCTCCTACAACATCGTTAATATTGCTTATAACTTCCATCATCATTCTCTGCTATCAACATTAGCTCTTGTGCGCTAGAAGGTCAGTACCTTCTTTCGCTTTTTATATTTTTTTCGATCATTTTTTGTTCCTATATCAAATGTATGTATTCATATATTTCGATTTTCTTTGTCACAAATTACATGAAATCAGTTAACTACTTTTCTGAAACTTTTCAAATAAACATGAAAAGGTATTAGGTACCTTTAACAAAACAAAAAATAACTATCCTGGTAACTGACATTAATTACGAAAATGTTACTTTTATATATTAGAGATGATTATGATTTTTTTTTTAATTTTTATGTCATAAGAATCTGGTTAATTTTGGCATGATTTTAAAATATCATTGAAATTATTATGTTTTTAGATATCATATCAACCTACTTTTTTATCTTCGTATAGTAACAATAAAATTTATTAATTTACACAACAAATATAGATATTTCAAATTTTGTAATATTATTATACCTTACAAAATACAACTCCTTCCAAAATAAATTTTCGTCAGTAATTTCATCCATAATTTCAACAAATTTAAATTTGTATTTTCTTTATATAATTTTTTTTAATGATCCTGATTTTTTTTCTCCAAAAGTATATCAAACATTTACGTTTTAGATAATGCTGCCCTATTATAATTATTATTTTCCAAAAGTATATCCGTTTAATGAGGAATTTGATATAATAAAGGAAGTGAATGTTAATTAAAATGAGATATATATTCCATAATTATTACATGAGTTTATTAAAAAAAATTAATATCAAGGTGTAAACATTAAACATTTTTAAAGTGAAATTTCAGAATACATACAAACGATAATGTTGTACAATGAAATATAAAATTGAATAGACTGAAAAAAAAACACTATTAAAGCAGTCAATTTTGAAAATAACATAGTTATGAAAAATTATAAAGTAAGATTAAAATTATAAGATATTAGGAGATTTGTAAAAAGTACATTTAGTAAAAGCGTTACGGTTATTAGAAAAAATAAGACCGTTAAGATTAGTGAAAATAGAATATATAAACTAAATTATCACAATAGTAATGAAATGTCATTATTTGATATTTCATATAATTGACAGATATATCAAAATAAATTGATATACTAAAATTATTCAAAGTTGCGCAAAATTTTTGCGAACACTAAATAAATAAGAACAAACATAAAAACTAGCATTTATATTTATAATCAATTTAAAATAAATCAATCATGATTTAGAAAAGAATCTCCATTGATGATATACTAAAATTAAATCTATATAACATTTAACACTTTATAAATTATATTACATAACTTTATTTGAATAAATAAAATAGTTGTTAATATTTAATGCAATAGAAAAAATGGTATATTGATTGTCAATATATGTTTAAATTAGGTAACATTATTATGCAATGAACGTCTAATTAAATTGCTTATAAATATATAAATATCATAACTATATAAGACGATGAAAATCGTTCAACTAATAAAACAAAAAATGATGTCTACAAAGAGATCTTTCAATGATTATATATATTTATCGTTTTCAATGTATTTTCTACATATTTCAATAATACCAATAACCATATATTTTTTTTATAATCATTATACAATATCTATAAACGATTATATGTTTTTTTATGCGTTTCCCGCGTTTAACGCGGGCTATAATCTAGTATGTTTTCATAGGATTGATACTAAATGAGAGTATGTTATTTGTTGGAATACTAAAAATGGATGATTAATTAATTGGATAACTAATGGAAAATGGTAACTGCCGATTTAATATGTTGATCTTCTGAAATTAATAAATTCAAACGAAGGCACGCCGATGATCGGATCACCATTATCATCTACATTTTACCGGCAATGCCTACCACTGACTCCGACGGCAGTAAGCAGCAGCTTCATGTGGTGATGTTCCCATGGCTTGCTTTCGGTCACATCATCCCTTTCCTTGAACTTTCTAAATCAATAGCCCAAAAAGGTCACAAAGTCTCTTTTCTTTCCACAATTCGAAACATCCAACGTCTCCCTTCCCACCTCTCGCCACTTCTAAATCTTGTTCCACTCACTCTTCCACGTCTTCACCAGCTGCCACAGGATGCAGAAGCCACCATGGATGTCCGCACTGAAGATATTCAATACCTCAAGAAGGCCTTCGATGGTCTTCAGCTAGAAGTCACTCGGTTTCTTGAGTCAGAGTCCCCAGACTGGATTATTTATGATTTTGCTCCCTACTGGTTGCCGAAGATCGCTGCTAGCCTCGGCATCTCGCGAGCCTTCTTCTCCATATTCAAGGCATGGTTCATCGCTTTTTTAGCAGAGTCACCGGAGGACATGATAAACGGCTCCGATGATCGGACGTCGGTTGAGGATTTCCTGGTGCCACCCAAGTGGCTTCCGTTTCCTTCGACAATATGCTACCGGAGGCATGAAGCTAACTGGATGATGGGTGTTTGTTCTCCTAATGCTTCTGGGGTTTCAGATGCTTATCGTAGCGGTATGATTTTGAAGGGTTCTAACTGTTTGTTTATAAGACATTCCTACGATTTTGAACCCCAATGGTTAACCGTTGTAGAAGAGCTGCACCACCTCCCGGTGGTTCCAGTAGGCCTAATGCCACCGGCCACAGCGGTGGAGGTAGAAAACGGGAAAGATGACACGTGGCTAACAATCAAGAACTGGCTCGATGGTCAACAAAAGGTTCATGTGGTGTACGTGGCATTAGGCAGTGAGGTTATGCTGAGCAAAACTGATGTGAGTGAGTTAGCCCTTGGCCTCGAGCTCTCTGGATTGCCATTCTTTTGGGCTTTCAGAAAACCGGCGGGTTCCACCGAGTCAGACTCGGTTGAATTGCCAGACGGGTTCTTGGAGCGAATCCGGAACCGTGGGATGGTGTGGACGAGTTGGGTACCTCAGTTACAGATACTGAGTCATGACTCGGTGGGTGGTTTCTTGACTCACTGTGGTTGGGGCTCGATTGTGGAAGGGCTAATGTTTGGTCATCCTCTAATAATGCTTCTGTTTTTGGTGGACCAAGGGCTGAATGCCCGAGCATTGGTCGACAAAAATGTAGGAATTGAAGTGCCAAGAAATGAGGAAGATGGGTCCTTCACCAAGAACTCGGTGGCCGACTCACTGAGTTTGGTAGTGGTTGAAGATGAAGGAAAGATCTACAAGGAGAATGCCATGGCTTTGAGCTGAATATTTGGTGACATGAAGCTACAACAGAAGTATACAGACGACTTTATAGAATATTTGGAAAAACATAGGTACAACCCTTGATTAAAAGGTTGTTACTTGTTAAGGTTTGTTTAAATGGCAGAATAAATGAAGATAACATGGGTTGTTACGTTTGTTTATGTGATTGCATTGATAAGAACCATGATGAGCCATTGAAGTATTAATTTGGTACTTGGACATAATAAGATGTTTTATTCAAGCATTATATCTTTTTCATTTTTTCGGTGTATCCATAACTTACACATAGAAGTATTTAAAATTTGTTCGTTTGTCATACGTGCTTTCTCTTTGTAGAGATAAAATGAAAAGTTCTCTACACAAATTTTATAAGTGAAACTTTGGGAAAAAGAATAAAACTTTCGGGATGCTAATTTGATTTACTATCACAACTGATGATCAAATTAGTTTATCGACCGAACCAAGAAGTGAACAGAACTATTTGATTCATGATGGTCATATTGTCATCATGGTAAGGCCTAGGTAAGACCATGGTAGTGCCATGAATCCATGATGACATATTATAGTCTTGCACGAACAACATTAAACTAAAACATTATAGCATAAATACAGATTGAGAACAATAAGATAACATAATTCATCAATAAAATTAAGTCAAGATTTTTACTTCGTTTAGTTAGAATTAGTGAAACTTTACTCTACATCCATGATGGCACGTATGTTATTACTTTTTATCTTGGCCATCTATACATACAATCGTTAAATTTCTCTTAGTTGAGGGTGTGTTAATTCAACTCAGAGAATCCATAATAATAGTTTTTTAAGAGATAATAGTTTTTTAAGAGCTAATTGGTTTCTGATTGCTTGTAAATTTACAAGCTTTTGCAGTTTTTCAATAATTGTGGTGGAACCATATGTTGGGTTTGGTGGCTATATCAGTTTTCATTAATTGTGGTAGGGACAATGTTGGGTTTGGGCTTCACTCCTAGTTAGTTTGAAACTTTAATAAGCCTTTTTGTTTCTTTTTGTTAAGTGTCTGGATTCTGGACTTTATTGAACATGGGATCAAATTTGTTGCAAGACCCTCTAGCACCAAATTGTTAGTGGATGTATGTATAATGTTTGTATAGGCTTTCGAGCCTTTGTATTTATTTATGTATTTGACTTGTTCCATAGAAAAACTAGATCGGTTACATGATCAATAATTTCAGTGACAATTTTAATCCTACCCGAGGTGACCGACGGAAGCACGGTCGGGGAAGTGACCATCAATAGCAGGACTGTCACATGCCATTGTTCGACAACACACCACTCCAGGGTTGGACAGACCTTGTCGTACTCTATGGGCTCCTCCCACTTATTGGATGTATTCATACGACGCACTGACTTGACCCACTTCGTCACAACAATATTGGGTTGTCCAGCCACTTCAACCACCTTCTACTCAGGTTATCGGCAGAAGCGTTGGGCTATCCAGTATTAGCAACATACCCAACAACCTGTTGTCTTTTATTCCCCTGGACCACACCAACTTCCAACATATCAGGTGTGGGTCATTCTACATTGCTTTTGTAAGAATTTTAAGCATTAAACCTTCAAGAGCCAACCAAGGATTGCTTTGACAAAGGAGTAACCAACCATCTATCCTCGGATACAGTAACTTATAAACCATTTTTAATAAACGTTATTGTTTTGGTCAAAATTTGATAAACTGATATTGTAACAAAATTAATAAGTGTGATGTGATGTTTACAATAAAAATATTTAACTTTAAAGTGCTTAAGATCATGAAATATGCCAAAGATCCTGGTCGTACCCAAGATCGTGGGAGGAAAACAATAATGTTCGAAAAGTTTCTTTGATAATTTTGACTTGTCTTGAAAAGTAAATATTTGTATTCATAGTAACTGAGACAAAAATACTCTTAAAGTTGTATAATTGGCGAATTTAGAGAATAAATATTAAGATACTAGGTTATAACCCGTGGAATCCACGGTTGACAAAGTAAAATAACATATAACATATAAAGAATAAAAATAATAATCATTAATCATAGATTTGCATGTATTTATTTTTATACAATGTAAAATAACAGGCAGAGTAACGTAACAATCACAGTTAAACATGGTAATACAATGGTATTTATGGAAGACTTTCAAAAGTACAATGCCAAAATTGAAAAAGAAATAGAAATGCTAATCATTTATATATGAAGTATGTTGTTATTGTCAACCAGTAACAAAAGAAAAAGAAAAAAATATTAAAATGCATTACTCATTAAAGCATTGTAGTATTTTATAGACAATCTTATCTTCTAAGATGTATTATTTTGAATTTTTTGAGTATTATCCTTTTCTTTCAAATAAAAATGTTATATGATTTCCAAATAAAGAAATCTTAATTCATTGTAATCCAAATAAATTGTCACGATAAACAAATGGTTTAAATTGTTGAATTAGCATTATAATACTCTAATTATTTAGGTAGGTATTTTAAAATTAACTTAATATAACATATTTATATAATTCTAAATCGTTCATTAAACTAATAATGGTTAAATTTATTTAAGTAAAGTTAGATTCAAATTATGTATTAAAGTAACTTTAAGTTTAACCAAACTCAAGTAATTGGTTACACTACCACAAACATTTTCATCAAATAACAACTATATACGTACCCTTCCTCACCGCTAAGCATCTTGAATCTGTTTTGTTCGTACATTAACTTTAGGTGGTGTTTTCTTAACCCTGATCTAAATACTTATTGTAATAACTTAAGTGATACATAAACGAAAAACTAAATGATAAATAATACACATTAATAGACCACAAGCTCTTATATAAAAACTTACTGTGATAACTTAAACGTTTTAGAAACATAAGTAATAACAGAAAAAGCATGTAGCGTATGAAGGAAACACTATTTAATTCTTTTCTCAAATCAATGACAGTCACTAAAAAATATGCAGTATGCTTTAAAACCATAAAATAAACAGATGGTTATTTTATGAACATGAACAAAGAATGTTGCATTCTAGAAAGAAAATGATAGATCTGCATCTACCTACAGAGGAGGCTCTATAATTCTTTGCATGAATTTTTTGAATTGCTCCTTCGTGCATGCTGCTTCCAAAAAAATGAGCAAAATAGTTAGCCATGCTTCATAAAAATATAAAATTTAGAAATAAATGGCTATAGAAACTACACATATATCATATAAACAATAACTTTTACCCGGAATTAAGCTTCGGTCTTGAGCCATCAATTAATAACACCTCTTGAACACCTCCCTCAAGAACATCAACTCATTACACCAAATCTCACAAAACCCATTTTGCAAAATATGAAACTGTGGAATTCTCAGTTTGTATAAGATTGATAGAAGAAAACGTCGCTGGTAAACCATGGTTGATGTCGTAACAAATGATTTACAAAATCATGTGTGCAATAACCTAAGATCTAGCTGCAGAAAAGTCATGGTAATGAAAGATGTCATTTTCCAGAAAAAAAAAATTTATACCTACAATTTAAAGATAGTAGTATGTACTTAATAAAATAAAATAAAAACTCTTCAAACTATCCTTCGAGAAAGGAGAATGTGAAGACCTAGGAGAAGAAATAAAAATTAGGTTTCCTTGGGCCAACATTGTTAATGTTGTTCTCACTCATATTACCCTATGAGCTCCTTATTCGCAAATGCCAAAAATGAAAATAGAGAAAGATCGTGGCAGAGGTTGTGCGGCATTAATGGGGCTGGTGGTAATTTAGGGTTTGTCTAGTGAAATGAGGAGAGTGTAGAAGATAAACAAAATCTGAAGAAAAAAAAATATAACGGTGACACAATATACGGAGAAAAGGAAGGTAACTGTGTTCCTGATTTTAAGGGATTTGGTGTAATCAATAAAATCAAAAACAAAAAAAAAACCTAATGAAATCGAAAAACATTGAGCGGGAAACACAATAGTAAATTGTTTGATAGAGTGCCATGTGGCAAAACCTTGGTCTAAAAGGGGGACATGTGGCATCCAAAAGAGTCTTTTATTAAGAATAGATTCAAAAAGGTGTCAAGATACTAGAGAATATCTCGGTTGTTTTAGTAAGACTGGGACAATATAACCAAATATACGATCAATCAAGTTTGTGAAAATGTTGTAATCAAGGTTCTAAAAAGCTCGACATGGCTCTGTCATTGCACGGCATGGCTCCAATGTGTGTACATGCCGCCAAGCTTTACCAAAACACCGCATTTACTCATATATGTGTATAAAAATAAATAATAGTTGAAAATACATATAAAAAATATTAATTATATACAAATTTTCTGCCTTATATCACGCTTTAAAAACGACATGGCTCGCAAAGGCTCAAAAAATCTTGAGGCTTGATATTACCGTCAAGTCACGCCTTACGTTTTTAGAACATTGGTTGTAATCGATCAAGTATCAGTAAATAAATAAAAATAAGTACCAAAACATATAAATGTACGAGGAAAACCCTTAATCCTCTTGATTCTCCAACATAATACATCGAGAGTTGTTAAAACCACTTGCCTTAAAATTTAAAGTAATAAAAATGTGATTATAAATGCTAGTTGATCGTGTTCTCGATGTTAAAGAACTCAAGTGTCGAGAGGGAGGGAGATGGTGAGAGTATATGTGTGAGTATGAGTTGATCACTTGGTCTTATTTATACAAAAGACTATAACAAACATTCCCAAATTCTAAAGATCCTCCTTGATCCATGATTGAATCGACATTCACGAACAACTTCAACGTTCATTAAGCTTTGACCACGTGCTTTTGACCTGGTCTATCCCTTTCTAGTTATGTGATACCTGCATAAGACATTACAAGAAATACGAAGGTTGTCCCAAGATATTAACTAAACATATGATCTTGGGCTACCCGGTATGTTAGTATAATTTCAGGATGTTGAAAATATAAGTATTGTTTTTGTACCCATAACAATTGTCCTCATAAATCTTCAATTGCAGGATCCTAGAAG